TAAAATAACTTTTTTTGCTGTCTAATTGATTATGAGTTAATGGTTTTTATTGAATTTTTAAAGTTGTGTTATCATACTTTTTTTACAGTGATGCATGGCCATTTAATTTACACAAGAAATCGTGAAAATGTTTGTGCGGTTAGCCATTTTACAATCTGATATATCTGCAGGATTGCCCGTTTAGTTTTATTATTACCATTTTAATATTTTAAAATGTATTATGTACATTGGTTCAATGTGCTTGATCGATACATGACCTCAAGTCAGGTGAAAACCTTCGCCTTAGCTGAATGTCTCTGCCAAATCAATGTCATCATCTGTGTACTCAAGGGCGTTGCTTAACATGCTGTGTGATGTCACGCATGTCAATTAGGCAGTGCTAAATATCTGTCATTTTCTTGTATGCTACTTTGCAAAAATGTAATTAGAAATATAATTAGATTTTCATTATTTGACTTGCAGTCTGGGCCAAGTTAAATTGGCTCTTAGCCTGTATATGATGTGTTAATTAATTAAATAAGTTGTGCTCTTATCTTGCTGTAATTTTTTCACCTTGGCTCATGTTGCAACACATGCCACCAACACATGCCACCAACACAGAATCACGATGACATTAACCATCACTTTAGTAGACAAATAATAGTTGAATATGTAATTGCTGTATGTGTTTTCCCTGGATACCAGCACCCATGATGGGTGTGCCACCTCCTCCTCCCCCCCCTCCTGTGTTCGGTGGTAAGACAAAATGTCTGCTGTGTACACAGTAGCTTAGTCTGTTTTGCGGGGGTGTCGCCAGGCTGTCATAAGAAGGATCCAAGTCCTTGCTGTGACAGTAATGCTGGGGAGCTTTTGCACATCTGAATTCTCGAGTAGCAGTCGAGCCAACAAGAAGTGGCCCCTTTCATATAACACGAGCCCCTGAAGACTCCCCTTGGGGAAATAAGCGTAATATTCTTGGCAATGCTCCTGTCTTAATTGTTGCATGGCTCACCTAATGGTAGCATTTGCTGAATTAATTCCCTAATACAATTCTGATGAGGCTTGGGCAGCATTCTTTATTTGTCATTGGACATGGCATTGTTTATTTTTGATTGGAGGCAAATTATTTTTGTCGGGCAAAAAAGTTATGGAGATGGATCTGCGATAGATTTGCTTGAACTAATTGGTGTTATTCATGTGGATAATTTATGTTTTGAGCTATTTGTGTATGTGGTGCAATGTTTACAGCTTAAGGTTAAGTATACATTTATTTCCGTGAGTATGAATACAGTTTTTAAGTAAGGCTGTCTTATACATGAGAAAAGCATGTTCATGTTGAATCATCCCAATTGAGTTCCATATTGGAACAAATTTAAGGTACACAATATAAACTTTATGGTATTGGTTTAATATCGTACTTTAACTAGACTGAGGTCAATTAACATAATTTGGCAACAAATCTTGGCGAGTGGTGGTGATTAATGGCTGGTGTGTTGTGTATTGTGAATGGTATGTCCCGTATAGCTGGTCCTGCACCCCAATACAACTCAATGCCCAGGCAGATGTCACGACACAACTCGGCCACATCCATCAGCTCAGGGGTTCCCCGCCGCCCACCCTCGGTTGCTTCACAGTGCTCGCAGCTCAACGGAGGTCCCTTCTACAGTCACAACCCGAGTGCGTGCAAGGATGCATGTGCACTTGGTCTAACAACACAGGGGCAGTTTGTCTCTCCGAATATTTTCATCACTGGTGACTGCATCGTACTATTTTTTTCCCATGAGACTTTTTCCGCTTGATTGAACTGGAGCTGCTGTGTGCGTGCTCTAGTGATGCAAGCACCACCACCTCCACCGATGCCTCAGCTCACCCCACAGATCCCTCTCACAGGCCTCGTGGCACGCATGCAGGAGAACAGTGAGTACCTGTAATTTCTACATTTTTCATTATGGCCTCTGTGGTAAGTGCCCATTTCACAAGGTTAGGAGTGCAAATTTCTGTTGTTGGTCAACTTGGCCTTTACCCTGTTCCTATGGTCATAAAGTCACTGGTGGTAATTCTGTATAGAAAATTCCCCTTACCATAGGAATCTGGAATGACTACTACTGATTTGCGCCTGATAACGGATTTGATCTGCTCAACTTGGAAACTTGTTTTACCTTGACTAAAGAGCACTGTAAAGGTACTAGATTTATATGGAGATACTCCACAGCTGTATGGTGGGCAGCAGAGGGCAGTGCAGCAAAATTGTTTTTCTATGCTTTTATGTGACCACTACATCTACCTTCTCCATCTTCACCAACTCGCAATGACCAGTGTATAGTTAAAGATCCACCATGACCTGCACTGCGTGGGGAGGCCTGTATCCAGCAGTGGATTGACAAAGGGCTGTACATATGTTGTACAGCAAGACATTAATTATTTTTTCCATGTCAGCAAAAATGAGCTGCAGACTTTGTTACATGTATTGTCTTTTAAAACTATATGGTACCTAGGTACCAATTCTGTCAGTCTTTTGTGATACTCATTGAAATAAGGTCGTGTGCAAGGTAGATTGTTACATCTCAGAACCATGAGAGAATTGGTGGCTTGTAGAGCCCATCCAGCAGTTGATTTATCATGGCTCATGATGTTCCATTCTGCTCCAAGTCACGGAGGGCCCGTCACAGCCATTGCCACCGCCGCCTGAAGAGCTGGCTGGGTTTGGAGCAGGGCCTGTGGAGCCGCTGATGCCACCACCTCCACCCGGTGACTACGAGGAAGAGGAAGCTGCTGTTGTGCAGTACTGTGATCCCTATGCTGAGGCTGACCCTCCATGGGCACCCAAAAGCTACCTGGAAAAAGGTAATGGTAAGGTTCTGCATTGCACACGCATGCAGAACCTCAGACAAGAAATAACTAAAACATTTTAAGTATTTGCTTTATTCCTGGAAGAGCAGCCTAAATACTTTGTAGAAGGGCTCTCTAAAGCTTCCGCTAGTGGAGATCCACCAGCAGTAATGTGACTATGCAATTGCTGGGCTGCACCTTACCTTTTACTCGTTATACTAGGGAGCTTAGAACACATTGGGTACCTTAACCAGTGTCACTGCAAGTGTCTGTGCGCACAGAAACAACACACTTGTTACCTACACTATTCTGCTGTGGTGTTGTCCATTCTGTCCCCACAGTGGTAGCCGTGTATGACTACAACAAGGACAAAGAGGACGAGTTGAGCTTCCAGGAGGGCTCAATAATCTATGTCATAAAGAAGAATGATGACGGCTGGTACGAGGGCACCATGAACGGCCAAACGGGGCTTTTCCCTGGAAACTATGTTGAACCCATCCTACACTACGCCAGCTAGATTTACGCTCTCTGGTCTCAGCGTTCCGTGCCCCTCCGATGCGTCACTCTTGCCAAATACCAATCCATGGGACAGACTTCTTGCAGTCCTTGCAGCTTTGGACTTTTAACTGCTGCAGCATTTCAACAACTACTCTGTTGGTGGATGAACAGTACTGTATAGATATCTTGTCCTGTGCAGATAAATCTTGCCACAAACTTTTTGCAGCAGTACTTGTGTATGAGATACTTGGATACATCTCTTAAGCTTGTCAAAAATCAAGATTTTTTTTTAATATACTGGTTATTGTGGTTGTAGAAGTGTAATTTAAAATTAAGTTAATTTTCATGTTACAAAACGAAACAATGGTGTTTTAATGCTGAATGTTTTGCTTGATGGACTTAGTGTAATCTGGTTATTTTTTGAGTGCCACAGCTGTGATGTGGGTTGTGTGGTGAGAAAAAATGCAACTACTGCTTAGCAGAGATTTATGGAAAGCTCTAGTAATTGTTAAAATAAGAGCTACACTTTAATAACATCTTGCAAAAGCTTTATTTTATGGTTACTGGATTGGATCATTTTCACATGTTTGAGTATCTACAAAATAGTTTGTATAAGCTATCCTTAAAATTGGTCTGTAAATAACATTCTATTGTGGCAAGTATTTGTCAGTCCACAATGTACGGGCCATTTTAATTTCATCAAGTTGTGCAGTGCAGTATTATGGTGTCATTTTAAGCTTTCCTCACTTGTGCAGATTGGTGTAGCTTGGTGAAGTTGGAAGGAATCAATTGTTGCCAAGGCATGTGGAGATTCTAAATTTCAGTACATTTAATGGTCTGTTTCCACAACAATTGAAAACCATTGCCTTAGAGAAGCAATATCCAAACTTCTCATTGGCTTATTTGCATGCGATACATTTTTAACACCATGTGTACAAATTTACCCCAGACTTTCCACAAGCCACATAGCCAAAGTAACTTGCATAATGCATGCTTACAAAATTTAGTTTACCTTGAGCTACTTTAAGCATGGCATGTTTAAAAGGTGTTAGAAGCAGCTACCCCAACTGTGTGCACACCTTGCTATGGGATGTCTGCATTTATCCTAGGTGTGGAATGCTTTTGTGAACAAATGTTTATATTCCGAATTTCTCCAACGACTGGAAGGACTCACTTTATTATAGGTCAATGACTAAGAGCAGCCGAGGTTGTGAAAAAACATAATTACTATAGCTATGTACCTGTTGCATTTTGTATTTGAGCTTCCAGAGTGTATTGGTAATCTAAGGCTCAAAAAAAAAAACTGTGGCAGAGTGGTTTTTGTACATCTTTGTAAACTTATATGTAATAGTGATTGTTCTGACTTTTGTAATTGTTTAATGTTAAGTCACTGCTTGATTTTGAAATGTGACCAGGTGGGGCCAATTGCTACAGCAGCATCTAATCCTCAGTTGGTTTTTCAAGACTGCGGTTGGCCACACATGTACTACTTAACAGTTGGATAAGCTGTATGTGAAACAATGCATCTTAATGCAGCTTTATAATATATATGTAAGAGGTAACCAAGCTCAACCTTCAATAATTCCTTGCTTGTTGCTACTTTAAGGTCTGCATGCTGTTTGCATATTTCTGACATTGTGTATATATTATGTACAAACATTTTCAAAAAAATAAAATAAAAACCTACGCAATTGTGATTGAAAGTTTTTTTTTTATACAAGATAAAACTCATGTCTTCAGACATCCCGAGTTGCAATAAGGCCTTAAAATATACAGCTGCCAGTCAGATGTAAAAAAGCCATTATGGCAATGAATGTTACTGGCCTCAATTTGAAAACTATGTAAACATGTTTGCGTTTTAAAAAAGCTTGATTACAAACACTTTTTGGTGACAAGACATTTTGCAACTTCATGCGAAATTATACACAAGTGTATAAAATAAAAAAACTATTCAAGTGATAACCGTTCAAACGTAGCAATACTCTGAACGCCTTTAGAAGTTTTCATCAGCACCCTTAAATGTCGCACTCTGCGAAAATGTTTCGCATTTATCTTGTACAAATCATAATTTGTGCACAGCGCATACTGAATCTGGGCACAGTTATTCCTTCCACTAATCTACTCAGCCCATGTCATTCCCACCACCAAACAATAAATTCAGGCCAATGCGGACCTTTACATCAGGAAGCATTAACAGCACTGGCATTTAATAGCGGCTTGAGGTGTTAACGCTAGGTCATTTATCTCGTGTAAGCACCATCTCCGTTATCCCTATGAGTGCATCACGTTCAGGTGATGGCCGCAGGGTGCTGATGAGCTTGACAGCTTCGCTGCAATAGCGCTGTGCTAGGTCTCGTGTCTGCTGTACGCCATCACTCTTGAGAGAGGAAAAAAAAACACATTTGGTTTTAAACGGACTGCCAAATTAGAAGCAGTGATGTTCATGTATAGAAATAAAAAAACATGCAGAAAGATCCTCACCTCCAAGACATGCTCCCAAGCTTTCTCAACATCTCCAGTGAGGCTAAAACGTCTCATTATCATACTGTGCAGTTCCGGGTGCTGACAGTCCAAACAGAACAAATGCAAGCAATGAAACAAATTATTAACTTAAGGAGCATGTAAAAAAATTCAGCTTGAGTATTGTACGAAATACACATCCATTATGAGCTATGGAATAATTTGTGACACTACAGACTTAGGCCTCACCTTGTCACAAGCAAATAGCACAGGTGCCGTGGCCAGCCCTAGCTTGAGATCAGCTGCAGCTGGCTTGCCCAACTGATTTCCACATGCAGTGAAATCCAAAACGTCATCAATCAGCTGACCACAAAGAAATGGGGAGGGGGGGGTAAAGTAGATTAATAAATGTGACTATACCAAGAGTAAAAAAATAACCCAAGCTTAAATCCTAGTTGAGTCATACATTTAGAAATCAAACATGTTACTGATCATTTCTGCAAGCTGTCGAGTAGATGAGTACATGTCCAGTCCTTTGTCAATCCATTTATTAAAGCCTCTCCAGATTGCAAGTCGTGGGGGTTATATGACCATACTTCACCATGCTGGTCAGTGAGAGCTGGTAAAGGTGTGCCGTAAAAAATGTTTCATTGTGGCTTAAAAGTTTATAATTTTTTGTTATCGGATATGCTTGTTATTAGATATTGTTAGTCCAGAGTCCAGATTTGTTTTCAGCTGTTGTGGGCTTTTGTTCAGAACACATAGGTGAACACCCTTCTTGATATGGAAAAGCATTGGGTGCTTAATGTCTGTAATATTGGCTGGACCATATTTGTATGTTTCATCGAGGACACCTCTTGCAAAACATTGACAGAAAAAAGATTATGTTTTCCCTAAAGCAAACAGGAGTTAATTATACTTGTACTCATTTCAACCTGGCTTTTCTTTCATGGTTATTCTTTGAAATACTGAAGTCTCAACAATGATTAGCTTTTGATAAAATAGTACTAAACCATTTTTTTCTGTAACATTAAATATCTTTAGTTATTTCTAAGCGAACTTAAAAAGCACACGTGTTTTATTCACGTAGTTCTATGAGAAACGTTTTAGTTTCCTATGATTTTTACTGGAAAGTGACATTACTTAAGGTTATAATTTTAACCTCGCAATTTAAACTGGACATACAGTAAAACCTTGGATTGCGAGTAACTTGGTCTGCGAGTGTTTTGCAAGACGAGCAAAATTTTTAAATAAATATTAATTTGATAAACGAGCGAGGTCTTGCAATACGAGTAGTAGGTATACGCTTTGTCTGCCAATAGTCACGTGATCACAACTTATATACGAGTGCTTTGGATTACAAACACGTTTCCAGAACGAATTATGCTCGCAATCCAAGGTTTTACTGTATTTACAAAAAATAACCACAAGGTGTACCATGCTATAGTTGTGCCAATACTGATGTAAGGAGAATACTGCAGAATGAGAAAATTAAATGAAAACAATAACTAGCAATAAGCTGGCTAAGAAGAGTACAGAGTGTCTAGACTAGAGAGAATAAGACATGAAGCAATATAAAATGCATATACAGTCACACTGGGATACTGGAAACCTCTTAATGTAATATCTGTAAGTGATAATACCTGAAATGCAATCCCCAAGTGTTTGCCATACATGAAGGCGATTTCCTGGACATCGGTATCTACTTCACCAAGAACAGCAACCTAAAAAGACCCAGAAGAACATGATAAACAGTTTAAATGAGACCGTAAATAAAAAAAATGGTTCAATTTAGCTTTGACCATGACAAACGTGTCAACTTACCGCTTTAGCGCTGTGTGCAATAAGGCTCGCAGTTTTCTTGAAGTTTTTTTTCAGATAGTGCGCAAACCTTTCATTCTCATTCTCTTTCGAGCCTAATTGCATAAACTCCCCTGAACACAGGCAAAACAAATGGAGCATACAGAAACGTAATGATTTACTTCACACTTGGTATATGCATTGTAATGGTTTGAAAATAATGCAATAGAATGAACCACACAGACATTAGATGACGGGCTTGAGACTCACCATTGACGAGGTCATCAATGACCTGCGACAGGAGTGACACAACATCTCCATTCCCGAGACGGGCTAGGGCTACTGAGGCTGCAGAGAGAATGAAATCCCCTGCTAGGATCGCCTGCAATACATCGTCCACACACGCCACTAAAAAACCCCAGCATGCTGCACGTTCCCATAAACAAAACTGTTGATGACATTTCAAAAATCTGGTAGATTTTCATCACCATGTGTAAGGGTTTGTATGAGTTTCTACATAATTAGATCTCCTTTGCCAGTACCAAAATGTAATAGGGTTTTTCCCCTTTTTTTTCTGGCAACAAAACCACAATACCTGCAGTCAAAATGCAAACAAAAAACATACTATGATAATATATGCATTGTCCTTGAAACTGATTGGTCCACACCAAGGGACGGCTTTCTTTTTTATTATATTTGTATGAGTTGTTAATGTGTTGCAATAAATTAATGTGGTTTTAGACAATCAACTGGTGCTGTGACTTGAGATTAATTTGCTTCAACAGGGGCCAACACGCAGTTACAGCCATCAATGTCTTACCTTCTTCTCACCCCATTTGAAATTCACCGCAGGTTTCCCACGCCGTGTGTTGGCTTTGTCAATTACATCGTCGTGCACGAGGCTGGCTGTGTGGATCATTTCAGCGACCATGGCTATCCGTCGTTGGCTGTCGCTCACCTCACTGGAAATATCAATTCACCAATTGTCAAGTAGAGTACAGTCGTCCCTCAGTTAATGTTTTTAATCCGTTCGACGAAAACTGATAACCTAAATAAATGTTAATCGAATTAGGAATTACATTTCTGCCAAAACAGAAAACATAATGCAAACAAAGCCAGTCGAGGTCTAAACGCTCATAAATGGGCGTTGCCGATTGAGACACGCTCAACCCACCTACGAGAACTTGGATTGGCCATAATTAGTGCTCGCTTGCATAACGTACACATCGTTAATCAAAATTTTAACGTTCGTCGAAACGATGGGGTCCTATGGGAGGCAAAACGTTAACCGAAAAACCGTTAACTGATGTTACTGTTAACTGAGGGACTATTGTACTGTTTAAGCTACCTGTCCTAAGTTTCGATTTAAAGCTTTCGTGACTGCAAGGATTCATCTTCTTTGGTTCTTTCGGTAAAGTCACGTAGAATGAGAATAAAATAATAAATTGATAAAATAAAATAACACAATATTCTCACGACGTTTCGGCCACAACACAAGCGGCCTTCATCAGGTGAAGGGACGAGACTGTCTGGAGGAAAGCGCTGGAGTGAAAAAAGCCACGCTCAGATCGCGACCTTTAAGCTGTGTGAGAAGAAACAAAGCGCCTTGACAAAGGAATTAGCATAAAATTTAGCATTGAAATGGCTGAGTGATTAGCTTGGCTTTTTTCACTCCAGCGCTGTCCTCCAGACAGTCTCGTCCCTTCACCTGATGAAGGCTGCTTGTGTTGTGGCCGAAACGTCGTGAGAATATTATTGTGTTATTTTATTTTATCAATTTATTATTTTATTCTCATTCTACGTGACTTTACCGAAAGAACCAAATAAGTTGTCCTAAGTTATTGAGATGTTTTCTATGAGCAGCTTATACCTGCACCTCCGATTAGCACGGTTGGCTATGTACGGTATGAAACAAGTTCAACATACCTGGTATTGTGCTGGTGGAAATTACATGCCCGTGCCATCAGCAACACCACCATCGGCCGGAATGACTTTCCCTTCCCATCAAAGTAGTAATGAGTCATATCCCTGAGGTCTGCGATTCCTGTCACCAGCTCCTGAGGTTTCATATATGGAACGTGTTATTTTAGGTGTCGACCAATGTTTTTCTTCATAATCACATTAAAACCACATGTACAAAAGGCAGCTATCAGAAGCTACCCTTATGCCTAGTAACATTCCCCATCTTCCATGGAATGTCAATGATGGCAACTTGCACAGCATCCAACAAGACTTGCACTGCATCTAACATTGTTTGCATCCTCTCTTACAGCATTTGCTTACCATTATGTTCCATTGCAGTATTACAAATAATATGTAACTTGCTAGCAAGCCTCGTAGCTTAAAAGAGTGTTAGGAGTAGCCATTCATTGACAGTTATGTCCATAAACACTGAACATCAGTTAAGTGCTCATTACTCAATAGTAAGGTATAATAAATAAGCGCTACAAGTACACCATACCTTTTTAATGTCATCGCAAAGGTTGCTCATGTCATCCTGCACCAGTTTGTATGGGTTCTGGTGCCGCTCTTTCATGGGTGCTTGCGTGCAGCGATAGGCACTGCACGTAGTGTGCAAAAACCTGCTGTAGTTGATAAATAAAATTTAAAAACAGACAGCATTGTTTGTCACGTAAACGTTGTATATTCGTTATGTATAAAAACACAAAGAATGAGAAAAAAGACCAAGGGCTTGTGCTTATTATTGTCACCTTTTAAGTCTGTAATTGATCACGCATTACACACAATAATTTGTCAAATGGTAGTCAACTATAACAATTAGCAAAATATGAATCTCGAATTCATTGTAAGTTACAAAAGCCGACAGCAAAAAAGGTGCTTTATTTGGTGTTTGGAATACTGTACATGTTAAATCAGTGTTGCGGTTTTGTAAATTAGTGTGATCAAGTATATAACAATTTGTTATATTAGCCGTATGTTTAACAAGCCTAACTGCTGATAAGACTGAAGGTAGAAAATTGTCTAGTTTGCTTGTTTAAACAAATGCTGCTTGATCATTTTGGTCCGAACAGCTCATTGGGTGATGAACAATAACATGATATTCATGTGGAGACAATATTGTGATCTTTTAATTACCCATAATGCTCCACAATAACACAATTGCTTTAATATGTTCAGTTTGAGCATTTCACCTTGAGATTAAAGTACAGTTGGTCTCCCTTGTGAAGGACAGCGGCCTTAAGCAGGGCTGTGTGGAGAAAAAAGTACAGTACAGTACTGTGTATATATACACACACACAAGTCTCGTGTACATTACAACTGAGGCTACCCTGTTCAAAGTTTTGCATTGGCACAAAGCAACAACAAAAAAATATATATTTAGTATTTTTTTGCTGTTTGGTATATGTTTTTGTATACAAGTAAAACATTACATAATAAAAGTACTCAATGTAAAATAATGAAGCATACAACCTTAACTGTTTAAAAGACACATTACAAAGTGTGATATAAGGAAAACTAAAACGCTCTCGCCAACAGCTCGCCTTACATTGGACTTCGGCCGTAAAATGAAACTGCAGACAACTTGAACGTTTGCAAGAGACAATATATCACGTCTTCCTTTTTTTAGAATAAACGGATTGACCTCTCACCTACTTAAAGGAGATAGAGTTTTACAATGAAAATGCATTACTGTAGTTGGGCAGAGGAAGCTGTTACTTCTCTAATTTAAAATAGCTTCCTCTCCGCTAACACGTGAGCCTGGAAAATACCTCTATTGTACTCTAGCTTTCGTTTAATAGTAACTTAACGGCATTTCACCACCCTTCAATCAAGTTCATAGATTCACGACCTCTTTCCATGGGAGACCTGAGTGGGCTAGTAGATACCCACAGTCACTACCACCACCACAGCTCAGTACTTTACTATTCCTCGTGACTTTGAGTGCAGTATCTGTGGAGGGCAAAGCGTACTTCTGTTAGTTGCCCTTGTATAATACGTGTGTACTGGTTGGTGAAGGTGGGACGGTGTCATTCTACGTGACTTTACCGAAAGAACCAAAGAAGGTGTCATGTTTGTTTCAGTTTGCGTTCTGTACCAATCCCGTTTTGGTTTGTCCGAGTGAATTAACAACACAGCGCAAAGTCCAGAGAAGTGCTGAACACAATAACCCGTCGTTCCATCCGTCGCTTGTCGATAACACGAGCGCCAATGCTTGCCCAATCTTGGAACGCACTCAACCTCGCCACAGTAACGCAGAATGTCCACCACTCTGTAATCAAGAAGCTTAGCACCACCGTCGCTGAACCCGTCTGACCTACAGTGCACTCTGCTAAGTTTGAGCAACAGCGTCTAAAGTCACGAATCCCCTTCCGCCCTGCCACCCACAAGGTCGCGCTGCCCGGCCACACACAGGCCCCTCTCTTGCTTACCGTGCACCTCCGGGCGCGCACGGCCGCAAGTGCCGCGGGCCCCGCTCGGGGAAGAGGTGAAACGCCTGCAGGGGCAGCGAGGGGACCGTCAGCGGGAGCGACGAGGTGAGTTCGGAGTCCCGCACGCAGAACGCGTCCCGCACGCAACCCGCGCCGCAAGGGGGCCGCCATGTTGATGGTGGGCAGCATGCCGGGAGGCGGGAGAGACCAAGTGGCGCGACCGGGAGGGGGGGGGAGACCAGGGAGTTAAACCGCGGGTGTGGGGGTTAAACCAAGTGGCCCATCACTACAGGGGGGGGGAGGCCAATGTGAGTATTTTTCAGTTTCATTCAGTTTCATTTATTTGGTGTCGCCCTGTGACACCAAAACATCTTAAAGTGACTACGCGCAAACAGAAAAATGCAGGAAAAAAACAGCAAAGCCTTCCAGAAAAAGCACCGAACATCAATGACGTGTGCAAAAATCCCAGTGGGATGCAAGTCAAACAATAGCAACCGTAAGACAATTCATATTAAAGTTATCAGTCTAACTCTGTTTTCGAAATCACCAAAATAAAGCAATAAATTTGAATGTGGGAGCGGCGGCGCAGCGGTTAGCGCGTTGCGCTGCGAACCTTGACGGTCCCGAGTTTGATTCCCGCTCACGGCCAACACCAACACCAGCCACGATTATCTTAAACCGGTCCCGGGAATCCCCTAGGTCGACTCAGCCTCAAACGAGAACCTGGTGCGGTGTGTAAACATCGCCACTGGGGAGACAAAGGCGGCCGGGCGTGGTGCTGGCCACTTATACCCTCGTGTGCCGTGTGGGCCTTCATAGGTGCTCGCTAACAGCACTTGCCCCTACAGCCTGTTACAGGCTACACGGGGGATCTTTGTCTTTGCTGAGTTGGGAGGTCACCGGCAGACATGATCAGGGGTCAGCAACGTGCGGCTCTTTAAGGACTGCTTCGTGACGTTATTTATTATGGACCAGCGTCTCGTAATCACGTTGCAGCATTGCGCCTCTTAAAATATTGAGGGTTTTTTTTACCGAACTTTTATGATCAACCCACCGCGGACGATGTTCGGCCGTCAGAAAGTCGTTTTGAGAACACTTTTTGCACAAGGTGAATTTTAGCATAGGAACGGCGCGGACTGATTCGTGGGATTCAAGCAACTTGCCCAACAAACACCTTGTTCAGCGGAGCCCGTAACCACTCACACTGCCCGGCTTCCACAACACGCAGCTCATCAGCGAGCCCACCACCACCACTACCACACTGCCCGGTTTCCACAACACGCAGCTCATCAGCGAGCCCACTACCACCACTACCACACTGCACGGATTCCACAACACGCAGCTCATCAGCGAGCGCACCACCACTACCACACTTCTCGGCTTCCACAACACGCAGCTCATCAGCGAGCGCACCACCACTACCACACTTCTCGGCTTCCACAACACGCAGCTCATCAGCGAGCCCACTACCACCACTACCACACTGCCCGGCTTCCACAACACACGCAGCTCATCAGTGAGCCCACCACCACCACTACCACACTGCCCGGCTTCCACAACACACGCAGCTCATCAGTGAGCCCACCACCACCACTACCACACTTCTCGGCTTCCACAACACGCAGCTCATCAGTGAGCCGCCCACCACCACCACACTGCGCGGCTACCATGCACTAAAACAATGGGCAGCGCTTATCCGGATCCACACAAACCACGGAAGATGCAGATACCGAAGTGGGGAATAAAACTCGATCTCCTGTGTGTGACTGCGTCTATGAAGTATTTGATCTGTGTGTGTTCTCTAAATCATGTGTGTAGGGGGGCGCGTACAATATGTATTTGGTCGATAAATTCGATAACCAACACTAATTTCGCATAACTCACAATGTGGTAGTTCACATCACGTACATTTTCTGTATAATGTGCATCTGCATTACAAAGTATCATGTCATTTGAATGTTCAGCCAATTCAATTACTGACTGACTTCCATCTGGAAGGAAATCATAGAATCGGAGATCCCTCAGAATAGCCATTAAGCAAACGCAGGGTTCAGCTCAAATCTCCACGCACATTAATTCAAGAATCGTCTGCTTTTCTGTCACAAACCTCTCTACCCCTTATCAGTGCCTACCTTATTACAGATCAATTCAGACCTTATTGATCACCCCGTGCCCCTTATAATCTCAACGTTCATCCTACAGTCCCATCTCAAGGGAGAAACAAGCAAATATACACATTTTTTGCCCGTATTGAAACGGCTGTACGCCGTATGGACCTGAAAACTCGATTATCCCTGTACAAAAATACGGGTAAACCGTATGGGATGACAAGTATGCTGTCATCCCCTAGCCACCTCGCAGCTCGAGCCTATAACACCTGCGACAGTATTTCCAGACATTCTTACGTCCGGGTACTCTGCAGTTGGGCTGCGATTTCATAAAAAAATATATTTTCTTAGCATTTGAGTGACTATGGTGACCTCTAGCGGCTGCAGAGGTCACGTGAATCCAACGATACAACAAATCAAATAGCAATGATGGCAATAGCACTGGCGATTCTATGCATGTGGTTTGAGATTTTTTAATTTAATAGATTTTTTTTACCGAAGAAGCGGTATCTGTAATACACAGGGATGGGGCATTGAAAGAAAAAAACATCGATATTTACTAAAATATCAGAACTAAAACATCAATGTGTTCGATGTTGATTGTTTGAGATGGTGTTTTATCCCGCTATTTGCATGAAAGCGCAAAGGAAATATTCAAAAGTTACGTTAATTATTGCAGAAAATTTTCATTTTGCGCAATCGCTTTCAAATTGCGTGATGGTGCCATCGCCAGCGTTGACACGGCCATGTGCGCACGGTGCAACCTCGAGTACTAGACCTGGGGTCGGCAACCGAAATAATAAGAACCATTTTTTTCAGATTCGGGAAAAATACTAAATATGTCAAGTGCCGCAATGCATGTGAATAACGTCACGAAGCAGTCCTTAAAGAGCCACAGTTTGCCGACCACGTTCCAGACCACTTGGAGCCCCTGTGAGCCTGTGTGAGGATGCTGTGACATCAGAACGATGGAGAGACGACTCGAGTCTAAAGGTGGAAAAATCGAATCCGTTTGACAAATAAGGGACAAGGCGCCTAAGGTTTATTAGTGTGCAATTGCAGGTGAGGATACAGATCCCTGGGTCTAGGTGGAAACCTTGAGCATGGATATGAAGGGACATGGAGAATGCTGGCAAAGTGAGAGGGAGAGGGGAGAGAAAATGATTTACCTGTACTGAATGCATTAAAACACTTTCATGATGTGTTTGTGTGGGGTGCTATTTGCATGAATGGTGATGTAGGGGATCAAACGTATTATTTTTCTTCTCTCGACTTTCGCTGATGTCAGGCGCTGCAGCGATAACTGTCGCTCCACCTGGTTTGTGTTGATCGCATCGTGTGTCTCATATGGGTTGCGATGTTTAGCGTCGTGAGATGCAATTTGCATGAATGACACTATATAAATCATGGGATCTCCTTTGCCAGTACCAAAATATGATAATAGGGTTTACCCTTTTTTCTGGCAACAAAACTGGTGTTAAGATGTTGAAACACCAAACTGAAACCTTTCACAAGGAATCATGTCTGCATTAACCACAATACTTGTGGTCAGAATGCAAACAATAAACATTCTCTGATAATATATGCATTGTCCTTGAAACTGATTGGTCCACACCAGAGACAGCTTTCTTTTGGGCCTTTTGGCGTCCTCTGGTCGAACACCGTTTGAGACGAGGCTCAAAAGAAAGCTGTCTCTGGTGTGGATCAATCAGTTTCAAATACAATGCATACATTATCAGAGAATGTTTATTGTTTGCATCCTGACCACAAGCATTGTGGTTAATGCAGACATGATTCCTTGTAAAAGGTTTCAGTTTGGTGTTTTAACATCTTAACACCAGTTTTGTTGCCAGAAAAAAAGGGGGAAAACCTATTATCACACGATATAAAGTTAAGTTATCGTTATTTATTGTCATCATGCCGTGTATGCTGTAATTAATTTCATCCGCTAAAGTCATCTACTCTCCACAAAGGGGGCATTCTAAGACAAGTTCAGAATCAAGATGTCATCGTGGCAACGTTTTCGACCTTCGACCCGATCCCGCAGATACTGCACAGTACACACGCGACCTCTAAGATTTTCTGTAACAGTATGACACCAGGGGCAGAGCCAGGGGGGTGACAGGGTAGACAATCGTCAACCCCGAAAAAAAATTTAAAATCTGAATCATTCTGCGTATAAGTGTACGACACTCGGTCTGGCGGACTCCGTGCAACTGCATTGTCAGTGTGTCGCCAACCGATGGCGTGGGGTATAGCCGATTTCTCATTCAATCATTCTTGAAATTAAAATTTGTTGAATGTCACCCCGGGCTGAAAATCCTGGCTCCGCCCCTGTATGACACCATCCGGTCTCAGGCCTTCCTGAACAGTTAACTTTTTTGTGCGTTATTGAGTTAATCCAGAATACCCCCTCAATTAAAACTGTTTCCGTTTGGAAATATAAAATTCGTGCTTTAAGGAATAATTGCACGTAGAGAACGCTAATTATTTTGAAATGTATTGGAGTCAAACACTATTAAACCATTAGCTATTGATTATTGTGAAGAACCTCAAAGCAGTTTGAGTGAAACGTAGTCCAGTATATTGATGTTAAATTCAGCCATTTAAAAGCCTGAAGTCACTGATGACCTTTATTGGTCAGAATTTGATCAAATACATTGCCATGTAGAAATACTAACTCTGTAATAGTAATTATCTTGTCGAGTAGTGGGGGGTTAATGACAATATCTTTTGCATAGAACTACCACGTGGCCCAACCAAAAAACTTGAACTATGGATAAGTTACGTGAGTCTGGGTGACTTGGGACGCAGGTTGTGCCGTAAGTTCAACATTTAAATAATGCCACACTAGAGGGAGACAGAGACACGTCAAATCCACATCTGCCACAGTTGTCTTCATTGATGTGGCGTTATTTAAACTGCATCTATGTATGCGTGTGTGGATGTATTTTGCCAATCACATCATTTTGCGAATCCTGCGATCTGAGTTCGATTCCCGGACATGGATAACATCGGCGATGTCCGACACCGGTCCAGGGACTACATTATGTTGATTCTGCCCCATAAAGAGTAACTACTGTGGTGTGTACAAATATAAGTA